AAATGACATTGAATAATAGGGCTTTATATTTTAATATTATATATTGTGTGGGGTACTTTAACATATATAATGTATATGATACATATTTATAATATGTATTATATATAATATATATTATACATATATTTTATACTTGTTCATACTCTTTTTACTTCTCTTGCCTGTAAGGTCCATGCAATAAGGGATTTTTACCTGACATACAACAAGTGCTCAATAAATGTTTCTTAAATGAAAGAACTTAGATTATGCACTATACATACAATGAAGTACTAACATAACCATTAAAAATTATGTTGGATAGTCCAAGATTTATTCTGAAGGGGAAAAAAACCCAGGTAACACAATAGTTATAATGATATAACTATTTTTTAGAAATCGTATGTCCATATTTGTGTGGGATATCATCTAGAAGAATATATAAAATTGTTACTAGTTATTATATCACTATAATTATAGGTTTGGGGATGCTTTAAAATCTTTCTCTTTTTGCTTATCTGTATTTTTTATTTTTCTAAAATGGGTGTGTTGGTCACTGTTGTTTGCATTTTACTCTATACTGCTGGTGTCCTGAAGGCATTTGGGTCTGACCAAGTGGAGGCACCAGTTCTGGTCAGACCCTGCATCTGGGTCAGGGACTGGGAGTGACTAAGTTTGATGTCGGCCTGAGAGGGAATGGGGGATATCCATCGACTTCTTTTCGGATATGGTCAGTTCTCCACTGTACTCAGAAAATGTGAGGTTAGAGGCTCACACCTCCTGTGTTCTGGCTTTGAGAAAGGGGCCTCCCCACTCTCCCACAAAATGGCTGTAATTGGAACATGGTTAAAATTCAATGGTTAATCCTAGGAACAAAGGGAGGCGCAGGAAGAGTTTGTGCATTTAGTCCATCAATGAACACACTTGCTGGGCACCATCACTGACCAGGCACTGTTTTAGGTTCTGGAGGTATGTATAGGAGAGAACAAAGCAGACAGAAATCCCTGTCCTCAAGGAACTTCTTCAGGGGAGAAGAGAAAGCAATAAACAGACAGAGGCAAAACTGGAAGCAGCAGGCAGAGCTGAGGGGATCTCAGGGATGAGGCGAGACAGCAGCAGAGGGCAGGGGTGCTGGGAGGCCCTGTCTGAAAAGATACCTGAGCCGGGCCGAGCCAGCCAACCCAGAATCAGGCAGAAGAAGCAGTGAGGACAAAGGATCCTAGCAGCACAAGCTGGGCACATCTGAAGGCCTGATGGGAGGAGATGCAGAGAAGTGGCCAGCAGCCACCTCAAGCGACCACGGTAGAGAATGTAGTCCAAGTGAGCTAGTTTTATTCCAAGTGAAATGGGCAGCCACTGGTGGGCTTTCAACAGAAAAATGACAGGCCCAGCAGGGGCTGCATCAGGGCTTGGGGACCCGAAGTGGCTCAAACTAGGATGGAGGTGGAAATGGAGAATGGAGGGGGACTGATTCATTATTTGTTTACTAGGCAAAGTGATCAGGACTTGCTTCAGAACCAGATTTAAACAGGAGAAAGACAGGATTCAGTTTGTTTGGTTTTATCTTGTTTGTCTTAATTTTAACAGCTTTACTGATCTATAATTTTTATACCATACAATTTTCCCATTGAGAACATTCAATGTCTTTCAGATTAGTCACTGAATTGTGTAACCATCCCTACAACCGACTTTAGAATATTCTCATTAACCCCCACACAACCCTGCATTCTTCAGGTACTACCCCCACCCCCGACCCCACTGTACTTTGTACCGCATTCTATTTATCCATTCTCTAATTGATGGACATTTAGTTTATTTCCATTTCCTGGCTACTATGAATAATGTTTCTATGAATACTGTTTGCCAGTTTTTGTGTGGGTATATGTTTTCATTTCCCTTGGGTATATACCTAGGCTTGGAATTGTTGGTTCCTATGTTAACTCTATTTAACTGTTTGAGGAACTGCCAGTTTTCCAAAGTGGCTGCAACATTGTATGTTCCCACCAGCAGTGTGTGGGGCTTGATTCTGTTTTAAGATCACTCTGACTACTACAAGCAGAGAGGATTGGAGTAAGGCTTGGGGGAAGTGCAGACATCAGACCTGTTATGAAAAAGTGGAGGCATCTTAGTGGTACTCAAAGACACCCAACATGAGGTGTACTTCATGCTGTTTTATGGCAAAAATATTTTTGAGATAGCTATTTTCACACCATGAATCGTATCACTAAATTAAAAGATTCCAACAGAGAAGTCTTGTTAAAACAGATCTGCAGTTTTTAAATCTAGAATCCTAACGCCGGCTGGTATGGAACTGCTTGCCCATCCATCCGCAAACAAGCTCCTGCAAGCAGGAGGGTATTTTTAGAGAAGCTAAGAGTCAGTGGGTCTAATTAAACTTCCACACCTTCAAGCCATGAAAACAGCAGCCTGTTGCTGAGGACTCCCATGCTAGAGGCATCACTCTGACTGCCTTAGGACACTGCCCTGGCCTCTCGGTCCCTGAGATGGGCTGCCTGTGTTCTTAGTTGTTGTTTTTGACAATTGGGCAGCAGTCTTGTGGTTCTGGAATTCTTCCAGCTCAGGAAGTGGAGGGAATCCAACATCTATTGAGCTTATGACAGGCCCAGCCTGGGGTGAGATGCGCCACTTACATTCCTTAAGTTAGTGAAACAACAAATCACGAGGGAAGAAAGAATTATTTTCCCCAATTACAGATGAGGAAAGTAGGCTCCTGTGGATGGGAAGGTCAGAAAAGGCCTCTCTGAAGAGATGGCCTTTTAGATGATACCAGCCACGTAAGGATTAGGAGGAAGAACATGCCAAGGTTAACCCCAAACTGTTTGTTAGGTCTCCAGGTGTCTTCATGTTTATTCACGTTTAATTTTCATTTTTATTCATTAGTATAAATAAAAGAAGTATCCCTCTAGAAACAAGTCAAGTTCCATTGACAAATAGCTGTGAGTAGAAATTGTAATTCTTTTTCCTTAATATTTCTGATTTTGTACTCAGAGCCTATTCTCCACAACATCCCCTCCGCATCCTACACACTGCCAATATCTCCCTCCCACCCATCCAATACCATGGTGTCTGCTAATGTGTTGTAATGGACCTCAGGATGGCTCTGGGACATGGGGAGGCACAGTTCTCTCGGTTGGCTGTACCACCGTGCTGGAAGTAGTGACTCTGACCTCCAGAACTTCCCATGAAAGGAAGGAAGGATATACAGATACACGCTACACTGTGAGGACAGTGGGCTCTCAGGTTAAGATGTTTTCCAAATGACAGAATAAATTTTTACTATGACACTTTACCAAATCCCTCAAAATTGAGCTCATCCTAAGATCTGTGTGTTGGTCTTTGGGAAGGCCCAATAAGTAAAATCCTTCTTCCCCACTGAACTAATCAAAATATAAGACCAAGAAGTAAGGCTGTTTTGAGACCAAAATACATTACCAGTAAGATTGCTGTTAGAGAGTGTGGCTTATATCCACTGGCAAGCAGGACTCCTGATGTTCGCCCACGTGGTCTCAATGCAGGGACAGGGCAGGGCTTCCTCCCAGAAGCGTACCTCCCCCTGTAAAATGTATGGGATGGCAGGCAGAACAGAGGAGCGCCTTCACGGGCAGATCACTGCGTGAGAAGAAGGAAGGAAGAGGGAAGAGCTCTGCAGTCCCAGATCCTTCTGCTCTCAACCTCACCAATTAAATAGACATTTCCCCTTGCATGGAAGCAAGTAGTAAAGATGATCGAGAGAGGTTTTGGAAACATAGGACAACTAAGGGAAAAAACATCACCCCTGCCACACACACACCCACACACCCAACACTGGGTTCCCGATGTCCTGCTTCTGTCAAAATGTACTGATCCAACATCAGGCAAAAGAGCTGACCCTCTCGGGGGTCTCAGATTTTTCCTCCCTGAATTCGAGAAAATAAACACAAATTTTAAATGCTATCAAGAGAAAAGACAGATTATCTATAAACAAAGGAATGAAGATTAGATTGGCAGTAGAATTTTTACCAGCAACAATTAATACCAGAAGAACAATAGAGCACCATCTGCAATGTGTCATGGGAAAACAACTGCTCATTAGAATTTTATACCCAAATAAATGATGACCTAACACTGAGGGAGAAATAGGAAAAATACACATATTTTCAATCACACAAATAATTCCCTCTCCTACCAAGATCCCTACAGAAGGGATTATTAAAGGATAAATTTCAGCTAGTAGAAAACTGAACCCAAAGGTAAAGATTTGGATTCAAGAAAAAAATAGTGAGAAGAATTGATGAAATGTCCGCAAAACTTAATTAACTCTTAACTCTAAAAATTATTTTGAAATTATAAAAACATTCCAGGGTGGTTCTATCAGGTCGCTTCCTGGGAGATGAGCTGGCTGACCTCCCAAGGTCCTTTGTAATCCCATAATTAATGGTGAGTCGTGCACTTCCCCGTTCATGCTCCTACACACGTGTGCTCCCAGTTTGATCGTTAAATCCTCTGGGCTGCCTTCCAGGTTTAGTATGGTGCCACACAAACTGCTGGCATTTAACAAATGACTCAAATATTTGTTGAATGAAGGAATAAATGAATCGAGTATTTAAATAGAGCCCACATGACCTCCCCAGCTGTAAAGTACGGCGGATGAATGCAATTACAACATTCCAGGCACGATCAGTTGAGCAGAGCCCGCAAAAGAAAACGCGCGCGCGCGCATGCAGACACCCCAGAACTGATTCATCTAGATTCACATTCCCACTGTGGGAGCACGGACCACCTGCTCAGCACGCAGGCTGTAAGAGTGTCCCTGGGAAGGGTCCTCTCTCTCAGCTGTTTTAGGAGACGGTGCCTCCAGAAGGTCAAGCCACGAATATTTAGAACTGCTTCCTATACGTGCTGGCCTCCAGGACAAAGTTTCTGCCCAGATTCCGCATGGGCCTCCCCAGCGTGCGTACTCACTCATTCCCTTGCCCGGGGCGCCCAGCGCGTGCAGCTCGCCGGCCCGCAGCGCCTCACCTTACCTTGGTGAGCTGGGCTATCTTCTTGCACATTTTCACGTGCATTTCGGGATTGCAGTCTATTCTCCAGTCGGCGCCACCGCGGGCATCAGCTTTGGAGCTCGGGCAAGACCCCGGCGTGTGAATTTTGCTGTTGAGGGCAGAAGCCATAGCTAAAACGCATCCGACACTCAAGGGCTCTCGCGCGTGTTCTCGCTGCCCATGGTGTGCTCGTGCGGGCGCGCGCGGGCGTGCGGGCTTTCTCGGGAGAGGGGGCACTGCAGTCCCGCTGCCCGCACCGCCGCGTCGTCCCTGCTTCCCCGGCGGTCCGCCTCTCGGTCGCCCGCGCGCTCGCTCGCTGGCTCGCTGGCCCTGCAGGCATCCGCACCCGGCGGCCAGAAGCACGGGATCCGCACGTGCCTCTCGCAGACCGCACGCCGCTCTCCGCCCTGGGCGGGTTTCGCCTGCAATGGTAGAGTTTCCGCGACGAGGAGCCGCCGGCCTTGGAGAGGTCTGCGCTGGCCCGGCGCTGCGCTGACACGTGGGTAGCGCCGGGCTCCGAACTCAGCGGCGGCCGATCCTACCAGTAGTGGGCATCTCAAGCCAAGGGAGAATTAGAGCCGGCGTCAGCCTCGGGTGGCAGGGGCGCGCTGTCTGGGATGGGGCCCCTGGCGACGTGCTCCGTGGCCAGCGGGTTGCGGGGGGCCCGGCACCTTGACAAGCGTATCAGCCGGCGGCTTGGGAGCCTCGGAGCTCGGCGCTGAGGGCGGAGATGGGGCGCGGGGTGCCAGGAGAGGGGAAGGGGCGTGACAGCGAGTGGCGGGGAAGAGAAAAGGTACGCGGACCCTGGCCCACGGTGTGGGGCCCCGCCGGGGCTGCGAGTGGCAGCCCCCCCCTTCCCCCATTTTAGGGAGCAGCCCAGACGTTGCGGGAGGATTGCCAGAGATGACTGAGCAAAGCAGCCTAAGTGGTGGCTGAGGAGCTGGTGTCCTAAATCTGGGACGGGAAAGCCCAGAACGCGTAGTACAAGAAGCGGTAGGCGCGCAGGAAACAAAGTCATCAGAGAGGTAGAAAGGGTGGTGGCAGGTGTTTAGGGAAAGGAGGAAGCAAAGGGGAAAAAACAGTGGTAACAGAGGAGCTGAAAGTCCAAGTAAACCGAGAGAGAAGTGACTTGCCCGTATCCACACTCCTGGTCACCCGCCAAGTGGGGCAGATTCCTGTCATGTTTTAGGATTACGAGCTGTGTCTTTTTAGTTTGTTTGGTGAATGGAACGGTTAGGGGGCAAAATCTCGTTGTGTCTTGCTTTTTCTAGTTTAAAAAACTGGACTTTTGGGAAAGTGACAGAACCCTGATCAGATTTTCCTAAAGTGTGAATAATAGTGTTAACATAATAAGCAATTTGCATGGTTAATTTCATTTTACAAACTGCCTTATATCAAGAGTCCCAATAATCTTGATAAGCAAAGCAAGTAAGCTCCAAAGGGCCTCAGAAACCGCTGTTTCATCCTTCCATACTGCAGGTAACTAAGACTTTTACAGATGTGAAATAGATCCAGAAAATTTGTACCAAATCAGGGAACTATATGTTGCAGCCTAGTGTCTGCAACAGATACTCCTAAGTTCCTATTTCACCCCAGTACATCACACCACATAGGAATAGCCAACCTGGTCTTTCATGTCAGATTCCCTCTCCAGGACAACGACCCGTCCCTCCTTGAATTAATTTAGAAAACAGAACTCCTGAATCAAAATCCCTGCCAGGGGGTTGATGTAGATTCTTGGTGCTACCCTAGACTTCCAAGTCAAAACCCCTAGAGTTGAGGGTCCAGGAATCCACATTTTAAACAAACTCCCTACTTAATATCAAATCGCATATTTACCGTATTTTCTCCAGGGTCTTAGTACATACTAAATTTTACAGAAATTCAACCACTGTGTGAACTAGAGGGAAATTAGTCTTATTGGTCCAGAACTTTACTAAAAGTTATTCACCATCTTGGAAAGTTACATCATCAATGGCCACACAGTTCATGGTGAGTCTACTTATCAGTGCAAGCATCTGAGTACTACATTATGTCACACCAAAGCATGTCTACATTGAAATTCAGATGACTTAACTATACTTTTATTTCTCCTCTATATTAGTCAAAAAATTATATATTTTGAACATGTGTCCTAATTTTAAAAATTATCTATGAATTTCATGATAGAAACATGAACATTATAAAAAAGGTGATGTTGGTCTGAATAAGATTGAGAATCCCTGCTCTAAATGATAAGAATCTCACTAAAGTTTAGTAATATTGCAGTTTATCTCCAAGTTTTAGTTATTTAAATCTGATCTTACTAGGTCTAGGGGCTAAATTTTTCAATAGTATATTTTATACTTTCAACCTGGGAAAAAAGCAGATTCCTTTATCAGGCTTGTTGGACCATAGCTACTGTAATGAAGGTACCACAGGCTGGCCTAAGGAAGGTGCTACAAGCTAACCTGGAAAACGGTCTTCTGCAGCCACTGGGATTTTCTAGTACTCTGAATAGTAGGTCCTTTCACACTAACAGGGAGGGCAAGGGCAGAAATAACTGCTGTATGAACTACAGGGGGTAGGGGAGAAACACTTATTAGATAGACCTCTATGTGATCTTGTCGATCTGCTGTGCCATTTCCACACAATCTTCCTTCCTCTGAGGTATGTATTACTATCCTCATTCTACAGACTAGGAAATTGACACTCAGGCCGACTAAGCCCCTGACTCCTTACACCTAGGAAGTAGATCTGGGTCTATCTGACTTCAAAGGTTATTCTTCCCAGAGCACAATGCTGGCATATCTGAAATTTTTAAATGTCATAATTGATTTTTTTTAAATTATAAAAAATAAGCTTTTAGTGCTCTGCTTCCCAAAAAATCTCACTTGTAATAATACAAAAAATGAGTCTAAGAAGCAGGTAAAAATCACCCCAAATCCCAAAAGGAAAGTTTGTTAATATTTTAGAGATCCTTCTAGGTATCTCTGTACACATTTAGAAAATGTTACGTACATATATGTATTTTTGAAACATAAATGGGATACTGTATGTTTTTGAAAGCTATTCACTCAATATAAAATGGACATCTTTCTACTTCTGTCAATAAAGATCTACATTCCCATTTTTTACAGCCAAAGTATTCCATAATATACAATAACAACATATTTACCTTATCCCTATTTTTTTATACATTAAGCAACTATTTTATACATACTTGATGTGGTATTATGAGAATTTTCAATTCTGTTCTAAAAGACAGGAAAAGCAAAAAGGATGTATGAAACTTCTGTGTTAAGTATAATCAGTAAACAGGTAGCTTGTGAAATAGAATTCTGAAGATGTATTAAGTACAGAAAGTTTATAAATTACATGTATAAGACATGATAAAGATAGAATGGAATATATGTAAAAAGGATGGTTCAAACCAGAATGTTACTAACAGAAAAAGATGGAATGGCCAAGCTATAGTACAGATGATACCACCTTCAGATCCACAGCTGTATCATCCCTACAAATGCCATTCATTGTTGACACCCATTCTGACCCCATGTATATTTTACTGCAGAAACAGACATAAAAAACATGTTTCTCGGCAGGCCATTCACCAGGCGTATTTGCCCCTGCACATTTCTGACAGAGCAAGCATGTATTGGCTGTAGGCACCCTCTATGTAATTTTTCAACTGTGGTCCTCATTACCTGCACTATCACAGGTGACGGCTGATGGGGCAGACAGTATGTAACAACCAACACTGCATAACAAGGATTCAGGTCATTTGGTCCTCCCACTCCCTGTGGCTTTATCCTAAGTGTTTGCCTTCACTATGCTTTCCAACTATACTTCTGTGGAAAAGTGATTCAATAAATGATGTGTTATTTGAGCATCTTAACTTGTGTTGTAAATTTTTCTGTCCATGACATATGGGATAGTCTGCCCCATAATGCATTTGGAGGTTATCTTTGCATCAAGATAACTTCCTACATTACTTCATACATGGATTTTTGTACAGATGTGCAAGTATTGTCATAGGAATAAGTCTAGCAATAGGCCAGTTTCAAAGAATAAGCAAACTTTAAATATTTTGTTATACTGTTCTCCAGTATAATTATGCCAATTTCACTCTCATTAATAGTACACAAAAATGCGTGTTTTCCCATAGCGTTGCCCAAACTAGCTGTAATTGACCTTCTAATATCTTCCAATTTAAAAGGTGAAGAGTGTCTCTCCCTACACCAGTTGATTACTAGTAGGCCTGCTGTAACACCTTTACACAACCTGCTCAGCTGTTGTGCATTGTTTTTGCCTTTCTTCTACATATTGAAATAACTTTCTAGGCCCAAGATTGAGCTGCTCCTGCCTGGAGTGCCACATCAGAGAACAGCAACTTGGATCTAACTCTGGTGTCCCTGTGAACGCTGTGTCTGCTTGACCAGAAACAGTGTATGGTCAGCCAATCCCCAGATGCCAAGCCAGCTCTAGGCTGGGTTAGTTCTTTGTTCTTCCTGACTCCAAACAGGGCTGACTATGTGGTCCCAGCCAATCAGATGTTTTCTAATTTTCTCTTCCTTGTTCTTTATTCTTTATCCTATGAAACCTTCCTGCCTTCTGCCTCATTCTGCAGTTCTTCAAATGTAGACTGCCCATTTCATGAAGCGTTAAATAAGGTTGATTTGTATTTTTTTCACTCATTTTTAACACTTATTTCAAGGTCTTTCCTTGTAGGAACTTTTATCAGTTTGCCTACTATGTATTTTATAAACATTTCCTTTAGTAATTTATTTTGTCTTATTTTTTTTATAATAACTGTTTTGAATTGTACATTTTTCCATCTCTTGCATGACAGTTAGAAATGTTTTCCCCATCCAAGATTAGTTTTTCCTAGCATTTTTGTGGTCTTATTTTTTTTTAACTTACATTTTTGATCTAGCTGGAATTTATGTTGATATAATGGTGTATCTTGAGGATGGAATCCAGACTTAGGTTTTTGCAGGTGGCTAAGCTGTTATCCCAATAGGTATTGAATAATTCGTCTTTACCACACTGATACATGTTACATTAGGTGATTTCCTAGGTAGATTTTTACTAAGGTAATTTTTCAGTCTTTGCCTTAGTAATTTTCTTTCCTCATCAGTTAAGTAGCATGGGTAACTCTAACATTACTACTACTAATATACTTATACTCATCTAAGAACAAAATTGCGTTCTTGAGTTCATTTCACTTAACCCCTTTACCAAAAAGGTTATTTTTCCTACTCTGCCTATTCCTACTCATCTTACAGGATAGTTTGCATGTCCCTAAAATATGCTCTCATGGCTCTGCATTTCTGTGCAGCAACTATGCCATTTTTAAAAATTAAGGTTTTATCAAATATCCTTCCTTTTGGAGTGATGCGTCCAAGAAACAGAACACAAACTTGAATTGCT